CTGGACTTGAGGCTGAGGCTTGTGTTGAATTGTGGCCTGAGTGGCATTCTGCAGCCGAGTGATAGTGCTGTATTTGGCGAACATTGTAGGTGTGGCATGGTGGGGTATATTGGAAATAGGAGGAGGAGGGGGTGGAGGAGGTGGTGGTGGGGCTGGAGTTGCCTGGGGTGGTACTTGTGCCTGTATCGGTGCCTGTGTCAGTGCCTGGGTGACACTTCCATGTGACTGTGGAATTGAATATGGATGTGGCTGTTGCTGTGGGTGTGAATGCTGCTGTTGAGGCACATGATGAGAAGAATGGCTGCTATGGCTTGAATGGGTAGAACGGATTGATTCTGGCCTTGCCTGAACCAATATAAAAACAAGAAAAAATAATAATACGTTATTTCTTAATTTAATATCCTTTCCGCTTTTAGTGTGGTTCATCTTACTCTGTGGTGTTTTATCAAGAGATTAACTGAAGAAAGTGCTCAAGTAAAGAGATGTATCTCTCCAGAGAAAGAGGACAGCTCACCCTTGTGCTCTCCTCTATTTGTGTCCCTCTCTTCCAGGCCTCAGAGAAGATTGAACTGACTACACTCTGGGAGCGGGCATGGGAGGATGAAGTACCATCTGACATACCACTGTCTGCCTGGCTAGAGTGGTTTGACTGTGACTCTTTAAGCACAAACAAATATGCACAAACATCAGATAGCAACCTACAGTAACAAGTAGCATTTACAGTAATAAGTCAGTAAAATCACTATTATGCCATGAAAGGAAAATGCTCCATAAGTTACAACGATATTTGAAAAAAAAAAAAAAGATTTCATAAAAGAGTTTACAAAGGTCAGTGATCAGGTTCAAGTTACTCACCAGGTATACTGACTGAGCTTGTTCCCGATTTGATGCTGGTGCTGGAGAGAGAAGACCAGTCATAGGCAGCCTCTGTGCGCTTCATGGCTTCCTGATAGTTCACATACAATTGCTTCCCATACTGTACATAAAACACATTCAATGATGAAGGTATATAAACCCAACATATACACATATATGGTTGAAGATTAAACAATTTCCAACATGAACTCTGGTTATAAATTCCTTTTCAAATACAGAAGAGTTACAGTTATATAAATGTGGCATATTAGATAGTTTCAGAGGAACATGTTTTGAGGCCACAGGTTTCATTAATTGAACCGAAAACATAACAGACAAGCTATGGGATTACCTTAGCAATACGAATGCCATTGACCCATTGGTGTAGAGTTCTGACATCATCACAGCACAAGTATTTGATATACTGTGACTTCTTCTGGATCTGAGGGTGCTGTGGGCACAATCAACAATATTACCAAGACACTGAAGACATCAATGTTTCAAGAGATTTTCTTTAGATTGCTAATATATATGAACCACTAGAGGGCAGTAACAATGATTTAGACCAGGGGTTTTTAAACCTGTCCTGGAGCACCCCCAGCACGGCACATTTTGTATGTCTGCTTTATCAGACACACCCAATTCAGGTCTTGCAGTTTCTACTAATGAGCTAATGAGTTAAATCAGGTGTGTTACATGAGGGAGACATACAAAATGTACAGGGCTGGGAGTCCTCTAGGACAGGTTTGAAAACCCCTGTTTTAGACAATATGCATAATGCAAAGCCATCTGCCACACAATCACATGTGAGTTGTCCATACAGTTAGCCACCTGTTGGCCTACCCATTTTTTAATTTAGTTAAAAAAAATTATATTCACAAATGTAGTCTATTTACATTTGTGAAAATAGATAGGGATCAGTGCATTTAAAGGGTTAGTTCACCCAAAAATGAAAATTAGCCTGTGTTTTACTCACCCTCAAGCCATCCTAGGTGTATATGACTTTCTTCGTTCAGACAAATCCAATCAGAGTTGTATTAAAATTGTCCTGGCACTAGTGGGCGGGTGTTTCTCTTTAACAGTCCAAAACACGTTAAATAAAGCGCGTGCTTCCGTAATAAAATGTGCCTCACATGGCTCCGGGGGGTGAATGAAGGCCTCCTGTAGCGAATACATGTGTTTTTGTCCGGAAAAATATCCATATTTCAACCGTAATAAACACTTTTCTATCACTTCCGCTATCTGTCATACGTGGAAGCGTTCCGGCGGATGACGTAGGTGTTGCGTGATTAGTGACGAACGCAGAGAGAGAACAAAACAAAATGCCGGTCATGAATTAGAAGCACAAAACAAGGATTTGTAAAGAAAAATGTCGGAGGATTTCAATATAAGCCAAGAGGAGACTGGTTTTCCTTTGCTAAAGTAAGGAAACTTTGCTACCTTAAACTCGTGAGACTAGCCTATCTCAGAGGCGCACACGCGCGACGCATACGTCCTACGTCATCCGCCGCAACGCTTCCGCATACGGCAGTCAGCAGAAGTGAGAGAAAAGTGTTTATTATGTTTGAAATATGGATATTTTTCTGACAAAAACGCATGGATTTGCTACAGGAGGCCTTCATTCCCAGAATACAGTTACATTTTGTAAAAAATGGGAATACTATCAGGATTACAACGGTTTAAAGAATTACTGATGATGGGTGGTGATGCATCTCTACTAATAGCGAAATCTGCTTAAAGAATAGTGCTGTTATAAGTGATTCGCGCTTTCTTCCCGTGGGAGACTACAGCAAGCTCTCTCAGCACATCTTGACTTTGCTGATTTCGCTAATCTGTTCGAAAGTTGGACCGTCATTGTGACGTCCTTAAAAATTAGAATAGGGTCCATGTCAGGGCGAGCTATTCTAATCGGCCTATTGCGTATTAAATTACAGTGGTAGGTGACGTCAAGTCAACTTTAGGCTTTACGAATCAAGGCGAGCCTTCGGAAGGTTTAATTACCTTAGACCAACAGGCTAACGTGTTGTGACAATGTCTGATGTCGGAAGTGTGCAGAGGATTTCTTTTTCCCCGATTCAACGGGGTGAATGTGTCAGTGGTCGAGGGAGAATCAGCTTGTGTCTTGACGGCTGAAATCGAAACTCTTTTAAACAAATGGGCAATCAGAGTGGTGCCTGAGCCGTCAGGGATTTTATTCCCGTAATTTTGTAATTCCAAAGAAACCGGGCACAGCCCTTCATCCAATTTTGGACCTTCGTGTGTTGAACAAGCACCTATGAAAGTATTCAATCAGAATGTTGACACACAAAGTACTTTGTCGATTGATTCGTCTGAATGATTGGTTTGTGACAATCAATCTGTCAGATGCATATTTTCACATAGACATTTACCCCTCACACAGAAAATTCCTCAGATTTGCATATCAAGGCACAGCTGACGAGTTTCAAACTATTTCGTTCAGGCTATCTTTAGCCCCAAGGGTTTTTACCAAATGTGTGGAAGCAGGCCTGTTCCCATTGAAGAACAAGGGAATAAGAATATTGTCTTACATAGACGATTATCTGATATGCTTGTCGCCAAGAGAGCAAGCAGTGAAAGACACAGAGGTGTAAAATCATCTCAGCAACTTGGGGTTCAGGATCAACATGATAAAGAGCCGTTTGGAGCCCTCTCAACAAACAATATCTGGGGCTCAGCGTAGACTCCCTCTCTTATCAAGTCACACTAACAGAAGGGATAATTGCGTCTTTCACACAATGTCTCACCAGCCAGACGGCCAGACATCCTTCTTTATGCATTCCCTCCTCTGAGCTTAATTTCCCCCACTCTAGCCAGAGTGAGGGAACAGGGTCTGCCATTAATACTGATAGTTCCACACTAGCCATCCAAACATTGGGTGGCCAAGATGGTTTAACTGCTGTCAGGCCAGCCATGGCCCCTCCCATCCATCTCCTGTCCCAGGATAGCTCTCTGGGCTTGGCCCGTGAGAGGTGGAATTTGAATGCAGCAGGTCTGCCTCCATCAGTCATACATACTATACAGAGTGCAAAAGCCTCCTCTGCTCGCTCACTTTATAGCAATAAATGGCGAGTCTTTGAAGAATGGTGTGAGCAGTAGGGCTGTCAAAAAAAAAATTGAATTTCGAATATTCGTCGAAAAAAAATAAATAATCCACATTCGAATAAAAAAACGTGGCATTCGAATTTTAGGTCTGCGTCAGCCATCAGGCAGCCTTATCAGTGGCACACGAAATGCGACGACAATGTAAGTGTCATTGCATTTTAATGCTTTTGTTAGCCTATCCAATGTAAGTTCAAGTTTTAAAAAACATGTCTCAAGACTTTATGGAGTTTTCCCCCATCCCACTGTATCTCATGTTTTTAAATGAAGGAAGTAGCCTATTCTTTGTGATTGGTTTTCGGTCCTTTGTATTAAACTATACATACATGCACGGTGCTGTTTTTTTTCTAATTGTTTAAGCAACTTTATTAATTATATATGGTTTATAAACATTATTTTAAACATTATGCACTTTTTTTCAAAGATAG